CCTGCATAATGCAGGCATCCACTGAAGGCAAGAAACCTTTTCTTCTTTATTCGCATTAAATTTGCCACATATTCACATATTCTCATTCACATTCGTATTCACATTCGCATTCGCATTCATATTCGTTTACATTTTGCTTCGCTCGTGAAGCGCATTTTTTATTTTATTTTATTGCATTTGCATTCGACAACGTCTCTTCCCTTTCTGTTCCTCTCATTCCCTTACTCTCTCGTGCTCTGCCCTGCTTATCGTGCTGCTGAAACGTCGCTTCGACAAAGTTCTGTCTTCCTTTCTCGTCCTTTACGCGCCTTCTTCTTTTATTCGTCTCATGTGTTTTGCATTTTCTGCGGCTAAATTTACACATGCGTTCATCTCTGTATGTGTGTGTATGCTTGAGTATTTGCCAATGGCAATGTGCGCCTCTAGACGTGCATGTTTGTGTATGTATGTGTTCACATTAACACATTATTGTTGTTGTTGATGCTTATGCTTCACACACACACACACACGCTAAAAACTTAACGAAGCAAACGCTTTTTTTGCTTGTTGCATTTTATGCCAATTTTTTTCTTGCGTGTCTTCTACTGTAGCTATATATGGATATGTACATATAACAGTGATAGAAAAAGGCATGCTCAACTGTAATATAATTTAGTTATATATATATTTGTACAAGATGCTAATATATATTTAAGGAAAACACTTCATGTGCGGTATGAGTTTACCACTTAAGGAAAAGTAGAGTTATATTTAATAACCCATTAACTTCAATCAATAAATATATATTTTAAACAATTATTATTTATATTATTGTATAAATAATACCAAAATAATAAAATATTTTCGGAGAGTAAAAAAATGATTTCTTTGCATAATTAAATGTATAGGGTATTCAACAATCGTGCTTTCACACGTAAAAAGTTTTCCAGTATTTTTTTCTTGTCTCGCTCTTGCTTTGCACTTAATTCAGGACGCTCTTTTGTCTTTTGTTTTCGCATTGCATTTGTAATTGTAAATTTTGTGTAAAATGAAAAAATAAGAGAAAAGAATAACGAAACAAAATATGCAACTGCTTGTTTAGCAGCTAATATTTGTTGAATTTGGCAGCGTCTGTGGCCACAAGCTGTTATCTAAGCCATGCATGCCGCATGCCGCATGCCGCATGCCGCTTGTCTCATGCCACCAGCAGCAGCAGTCAGAGCAGTTCGTAGGAGATTCGCTACAGAAATGGAAATTCGCAAACGAATCCAGACAACTTTGTTGTGTCTTCTGTTGCTTGTAATTTCTTTTTGTTGCTTGCCGCTTGTTTGGCTTGTGGCTGTTGCATATGCCACAATCTGTCGCCCGTCGCCTGCCAGCCCCCTGGCCACCTGCAGTGGCAACGTTTGTTATTTTGTTGCTTTTATGTGGCCAGTGCCACTTTAAACTCTCTGTCTCGTTGCACTTTGATTGTCTGCCCCGCTCAGCAGTGTCAAACACAAGAGCTGCCACAACTACAGCAAGGTGAGCCAGCATATAGCAACTACCTGGCCGGACACAGGTTGCCAAGTTGTCATTGCGTGTCCAGCTGCGAACTGTCCGACATGTTGTTGCACAGCTTTACATTTTGCCCCAAGCTCTGACTTAACCCGCAACATCCTGGCGAAACCAACAGATAAATGCTATAATCACACGGCATATATGAATAATATATATGTTTATATATATATATGTATAGAGTGTGATATGATAAGTATGTATATATTTATATATACTTAGATATATAATTGTGTGTATATCTTTGTGCTGTTGGTTTTTGAGTTGAAAGAGAAGTCTGATTTCAGCGAGCATCCCTCTCATTTCCAGCATTAATTGGTGTACTTCATAAAGCACATCTAATAGAGCGATTCTAGCTACTAAATGCATCAAATTTTGTGCACCTGTGTAATTTATCTAGAGATAATGAAAATTTGTAATCAAAAACTGAATAATTAATTATCAATTTTCAATTTGCATCAGAGGCCAACAACAACAATAACAACAACACATAATATTAGCTAAAATTAGCAATAAAGCACAAATGTTGCATTATTTTCGGGAGCGGGTGGAGCCCTCTTCACCCGTGGGGCGTTTTCGAGCACTGCACTTAATAATCAAAATCATAATCAATAAACAATTTGCATGAACATTAAATAACATTAAAACTTTCAATGCGATTCGCTCGAATGTTATTTGGATGGTTCAATGACTGCATTTGTGATAATAAATATATTTAAACAATGCTGTAGGAAGTGTTGTGCAACACTGGCGGCAGCTGAAATGCAGCAAAAACAGTGCAGAAATCTGTAGCCAACTGCATAATACTCTTTCAGAAATGGCTTGTGTAAATGATATGTCTAGGTTGACACTAGATAGAGCATTTTTGTCTAAGAGTTGAAAATTTATAATTCGTAATTCAACTTTAGACTAGCTTAAGAATAACTAAATTTTTCATTTCTTTTTCTATGAACTATTTACCACGCCCCTAATGGGTGTGTCTATATCTCCTTTGTATTGTACTATAGTATTAGTGGTATTATTAGGAGTTACTAATTCAGGCAGAGAAAGCCAATATGCCCGCTGCGACTTCTTGGACAAGCAGCAGAACGTAGAGGGATAAACGTTAAAGCGTTTACACGCTAAAATATACATTTTGAAAAGCAAGCATAATATTATTTTTTAGTGCAAGGTGTTAACTGTATCTGTGTGTGTGTGTATGTGTATGTGTGGACAGAGCACAGCGGGCGATCCTTGTTGTCGCTGTCGTTGTCCTTGTCGCCGCTGTCGGTTCTCGCCAGCGTTTGCTTAATGTCTTCTTTATTATACGAAATTTATCACCGAAACTGGAAATTGGCCTGCTTGGATGGCTGGCTGACTGGCTGGTCCTTGCTAAGCAAGGACTAAGGCAGAAGCAACCGGAAAGCTTGCACTTTTTTCTGCTGCTTTATTTTTTCTGCAGCGAATGTCGCTACATAAAGTAACTCCCACACACACACACACACACACACACACACAGACACATAGACGTTGCAGTAAAAACATGGCTTATATCCTTTATGGTGACAAAAGCAAACACAGAAGCATACGTAGACACTAAAAGAGACTGTGTGTGAGGCACACAAACACACATATATATACTGTATACACACACTTTTTACACTCCCTCAAGATTAGCAGCACACACACACAGACACATGCATATATGAAATTAATGTGTGGGTTTTGTGCTAATGAACGAAGCGAATGTGTGTGCGTGTGTGTGTGTGTGTGTTTGCTGCGCTGTTTTTGAATTATAGCATAATTTTTACCACAAAAACGGTTGGAAACACTTTTTTTAATGTTTGCCCGTAAATTGTCCAAGCAAATTTATACGCTGTTCACTCTATGCCTGTGCATAAGGACGCGCCGCAACGCCAGCAAAAAAAACTATGCAAATATTTACAAATTTCTTCTATTTCTTTTAAATATTTTTAAAACAAACGATTTTTTACAAAATGTTTTAATTAAATGCGCTAAGCTTTTAATGGAGCGAGCATCAAAGCGTTGTAAATAGTCTCGTTTTTGTTTTGGATTTTCTGTTTTTTAAACTCAAGCCAAAATCTTAAATGCATGGGTTTTTTTTTTTAATTTTCATCTATATAGAATTTTTTTCAAGTGCCGCACAAAAACTATGCAAACTGCGGGCGACCGACCACAAAAGAAAGCTGTATTTGGGGAAATGTTAGAAAATGGGGTTTCGGCTTGACCCCAGGCAAAGAGAACAAAAAAGCAAAGATATATATAACTTTACGCTTGAATTATGAATTTTGTTTTGCTTAACATGCGATTCACAATAAAATGCTTAAATTTTAGAATAAATATAAGTATTGAAAAGTTGAACTGAAAATTATGTATATGTAATAATATAATATATAAATAATAATTTTTAAAGCTTATCAAAAATAATACACTTTAAGGCTATTTTTAATGTTTTATTTTAATTTTTATTAGCAATGAAATTTATAGATGAATTATTAATAAATAAAAAATATTCTGATTAATTAATTTTATTATTAGCCTAATATTTTATTACTATTACTATTGCTATTACTGCATACTTATAAATAATAATAATATAACTTATATTTCAATGTAAGACACTAAACTTTTCTACAGCTATCAGATGAACTATAGAAAGCTACGCGTATTAAAAGTGGGGTCAAAAAAAATGAGGACTTCCTCTACATCCTCTCCAGTGCTGGCCTTCTTTTGAGCTGTATTTCATAATGAATGAACGCAGAAAAAAGTCAAACGTTTTTCAAGTGGGATTTGACGTTTTGCCTAACTTTTAACTTTGCTGTCGTTAGTTTTAGGTCAGAGGTCAGATGCTGTTGCAGTTTTGCTAGCAAAAAGCGACGCATTTATTTTAATTTTTTCATGCCAATTGCCAACTTTGCTGCGAAAGGTTAAAAAAGTGTCAACAATTTAGGCGACCCTTAAAAAAGTTGCTCTAAAATTACACTTTTAATATATGAAACACTTTTTAATAAGCAAATGTGTAAAGACAGCTTTCATATGGAAAGCTATTTTTCAAATAAAAGCTTCTGCGCGCGCTAAAAGCTCATGTACTTCGTGCTTAATGTGCAAAAGTTCTTAGCTGACAAACCAAACCAGCGAAAACGAAAGCTTTTACTATCTCGAACGCATTGCGGTAGCTTCAGGGCCCAAATGGGGCAATTCAGTGAACTTTACCGCTTTAATTAACTTCACAATACTCAAATCGCGTTTTCAGCGAACTTATTTTTCACAATTTTTAAGTACATTTAAGAAAAATACCAAAATCAAGTATTATTTTTATAACTGAGTAAACAACCGAGAATCTCAGTCCGAACTGAATGTGATACTGACAACTGCAGTATCAAAATCATCTGTCATCGATATGTTTAAGGCACTGAATATCGATATGTTCGCGCTAAATGTAATCACGCACACCGCTGGCGCACGTCAATTTGTATACTTGTCGCTCGAATAACGGCTCTTCCCATTTGCCATACTCAATGAGAAAATAATTGTATAAAATGGAGCTGCGTAGCAAATTTAATAAATTGAAAGAGCTGCTAATCAGCGCAGGCGTATATGAAGATGGCATGGAAGTTGAAGAGATGCGTCAAATGGCACAGGCTATGGAAATGTCTGTCTCATCGTACAATGGCGTGGAATATTCGAATCTCGAGCGGGCGCTCCTGGTAAATATTAAAAAGCAAACATATTTAAGAGAGTTTACGAAAAGAAATTTGCACAGGAGAGCGAAATTGATTTCCAAATGATGGTGAACTCCACGATGATCGTGCAACCGGCCACGCCCACGCCCTCCATCGATGTGTTCATCGAAGCGGGCAGCTTTGAACGCGACTGCGAGAGCCCTCCGAGCAATCCCATACACCTTCAGGTGCAGGCTGTGGTGCATCACGAGCTCAACTGGAGTCCGACTCTTGTGAGATCACACAAGCGGGAAACCAACGAACCGGACTGTGGCCTGTACACCAAACGTGCCTGCCAGACTATGGATGCTGAAGCGGACTCGGAGTCATCAAATGTCACGCCCATATCAATAACCAGCGCCGACTCGGGCGTTAGCTGCGAAGAAACGGGCACGCTGTCCAGCTTCAGTGAGAGCTCCACATTGCCCTCAATTGGCGAAATGCCAAGCCGCCTGCTAATCAGCACCAGCAGTGCCGTCGTTTCAGATTTGTCCAGCCTGCCCGTCATAAGCCCCTAATTTATGAACTAACTGCAATTGTCAATCGTTTGCTCAACGATGCCAAAGGATGTGCCTTAATTCAGCTGTGCATGTAAATGATATTTGATTATTCCAACATGTTAATTCATAACTTTTAAGCTAATCCCATTGATCAATTATATGCTGTGCTTTTATTCAGCTAAGAAGCTAAACGAACTAGAGAACATTGACATTGACTGGATTGTTTTCCCGCTGTATCTTCGTCTTGGCTATGGCCTCGCCCACCAGGCGATCTATGCGCTTGCGCATGGCCAGAAAAGGCATCAGATTGACTCGATGGCTGACCAACGTGGCAGAGATATTGGTAAAGTACTCGGTCACCTCGACGGGTCGAGCCAGGAGCACAGTGGGTTTCTTAACAGGCGATTTCGTCAAGCAGATGGATTGCCTCGGTCGCTTGGCCACGCGTGCGCCAATTGTTTTCGCCGGCGAGCTGTTGCCGTTGAGCTTCAGTTTACGTGAACGTGGACGAGCATTTTTAGCGGGTGCAGACAAATATTTGCCTGGAATACGACTGGCCGAACGTAGAGATCGACGACGAGAAGGAGGCGAAAAGTCGCCAGTTAAATTTTCTGCATTTGGGTTAGTCAAAGGGGATTCCTTCAGCCGCTCGCAATCTCGATTTACGAATTCTGTCTCCATTTCTGGCGAGGAATTAGGGGAACGTGTTGCATTGCAATTCTCTTCTGCTGGAGAACTGGACACACTAAAGGTTAACATATCAGGTTTTGTATTGCTGTCCTCGCAATCCATGGCTGCAACCTCAGCTCTCTCTTCAACTTCAGTTGGTTCAGTTTCCATATCTACTTTGGCAGGAGGCGCATTCAAAGGTTGATGTTCGACAATTGACTCCGTTTCGCTTTCCCTAGAATATGTGGTCACTGGATAAGTCCTGTTTGATATACAAATGGCAAACTTACGGAGTGCGCACTATGTAAGAAATATTATTCGACCAATCCTCCTCCTCCTCCGCAGTGCAATTGGAATCCTCTTCGCTAAGATTAGGAAATTTTGTTAATAGAAAGTGAGGAGTCCTTTCAAAAACTCACTCAGCATCACTTTCGTTATCATAAGAAGAATCGGACAGTTCCGAAGAGGGCGAATCAATTGTTTTCTGGTCAGCCACAGAGGTTGGAGCTCCTGCCGTGTTTAATGCTGCTGTCCGATCTGAATGTGCTTCAGGAATTTGTGCTTGGTCATCTGCTTCGCTCAAATCGTCATCGTCCCCAACAATGTGCGGTACATTGGGCAAAAAAGGCCTACAATTGAGTAATTTTTTAAATTTGAAATTATTTCCAAAATTCACTCACATGTTGAATGTAGTTTAAGAGAAAGAAACTCTATTGGCGAAACGTGACAAATTAAACGTTATTTTTAGCCAAGGATTGCCCTAGTGTTGCACAACAAACTAAGCAAATAGTGTGCCAAAACGATATTCTTAGCATTTAGTATTTTTTAAAGATATCCCCACTGTTATGCTCATGCACCAACAGCGCAATGCGTTCAGCTAAGATCGTGGTATTTTTTTAACTGAGCCGAAAATAAGCCGAAAATTTAATATATATGGTCATATTCTAATATTAAAAAATACGTTGATTAAATATAATTATGAATATGAATATATTTTAGTAAAATTCAAATTTAAATATTTTTATAAAATTCTTGACTTATAATAATGAATAATAACTTAATAATTACAAGACAAATAATTAAGAATTATATAAAATATATATAGATATACATGTTATAATAATCCTAACCGTCGCAGTAATCGCACGCCTCACCAGCTTGATCGCACTCGCAATAGATCGCCTCTGGAGCCATATCGGACGCCAGATCATCCTCGCTGAATGTAACGCAACGCACGTTCCGCGGATACTTGACCATGACCAAGGGACGACCGTCGTCATCGGTGAGGCCCACATTATCGCAGCCATCGCCCACATTTTGGCGCTGCAGAGTGTACTTGGTGACGCCGCATAGAACTATCTAAAAAAAAGTTCTGCTTCAGATAAACCTAGCACAGGTGTTGGCTGTTTGCTCACCAGAAACTTCAGAGCCATCAGCGCTAACGCCAGCATTATGTAGAAATATCGCATCAATCCCTGCGAGAACAGGGAGAGGCAGCCAGCCGTGTTGATGGAGTCGATGGTCAGCGTGGGCACTGGCATCCGCTTGGACTGACCGTAATCCTCGTGGCTGACAAACTTCGACACGCAGTTCCGCTTGGAGCAGGCGATGGGCGCCAGCACAACGCGATTGCGCCACGAATTGTTGACCAGCTGCAGGGGCATCCACTCGGCGTTCATCCAATCCTTGTAGTTGTAGACGCCGCAGCACTGCTTCCGCAGCTGCAGTCCGTCCCACAAGAGCTTCCACTCGGGCGACGAGTAATACTCGTCGATGCCGCGCAGCAGCGAGCCCTCCGCCGAGTTTTCCAGGACATCGATGTTATGGTAGAGATTCCACACGGTGCCAAATCCCGAAGTGATCAGCACGCAGGAGTAGAAGAGCCAAACGGAGATCATCAAGCGAACGTTGGGCGTACAGCGCCTCTTCCACAGGCGATTCCACAGCGAGAGGCTGCACAGGAACGTCACGATCAGCTGCGCACCAAAAACGTAGATGTTCACAAGGTAACTCAATAGCAAGCGTTGATCGATGTCCCCCAGGAAGCTGGACAGAATCATTTGATAGATCCCAGTCACGATGATGATCACAAATCCGGTTATAGCCTCGAGTATTAGCAGAAACGCAACATATACAGATGCTTTATGAAAAGGCTGGCGCATTTGATCATCTTTCTCAGATGCTGCTTAGTGTTTTGGGTTTTAGCATCTTTCAAATTGGAAACTTGATTTTCATGTGAAGTGACATTTTTCACACAGCTGAGACAACAAATTGGAACTATTACAAAATATTTATGATATATAAATGAGCAACATAAGCAGTTTTTAAGTAAATCATTTTGAATTTACTTCAAATCAATTAATCAATCAATTAACCGTTTCGTTAACAGCGATTTCTTAATTTCAAATATCCGTTATCGTTGGTGATGTACATTAAAATTAATTTAACAGTCATCAACTGTAAGACTCATAATGGCAACGTAATTTAACAGCCTGCACACTTCGTAACAGCAGCTTAAGTTTTTGATAAGCGGGGTTATAAAACCAAGCTTGACTGTAGCAAAGCAAAATTAGTATTAAACAGACTTCAATCTTATTTGCTCAGTAAGTGTGATTATTGCTTAAGTTTAAGTTTAAGTACTAAATAAAATAATGCTGCTAAGCTCCGTTTCAAATAGCCAAAGCACAATTTTCAAATGACCGTTATCGCTGGCTATGTTAATCAACATTAAGTTTGTTCTCGGCAACTGTTAAACTCAAAATGGCAACTATTTTTGATAATGAGAGCATAAGAGCTGATTTGATTGAAATCAAGATCAAAACCACTAACCGAGTCTTTAGAGATTCTACGATTGTGGTCAATATAAAATCTGTTAAATATAATATAAAAAATTGGTTTCATATAAGCTAATTTCAAATTCTCTTCTGTAGCTACTTCTGTTAAGTAACATTTTGTTGACTGTTAAACTCAGAATGAACCACTGAACTTATCTTGCACCAACTATGCAACACTGCTTTAAGCTTTAGATAAGGGGGTCATAAAAGCCGGCTTGACCGAAGCAGAGCTGAACAAAGACAGATTTAAAATTGAACGCATTATATTTAATTAAAAACATTTGAGTCATTGAGTGAGCAGCAAAATGTTTCCTGCGCTTTGTGGAGCTTTATTGATTTTGGCTTTTAAGCCCAGCGCGTTTGCTAACGAGAAATTCCAATACGAAATCAAAGAATTTTCCGTGCCGCTGGATCACTTTAGTTTTCTGAGCAATGAGAGCTTCAACATACGTTATCTATGCAACGACTCCTACGTGGACAAAAGCAACTTAGAGCCACCAATATTCTTCTACACGGGCAACGAGGGCGACATCGAGTGGTTCGCGCAGAACAGCGGCTTCGTCTGGGAGCTGGCGGCCAAGCAGCGGGCGCTGGTTGTCTTTGCGGAGCATCGCTACTACGGCAAATCAATGCCGTATGGCGCCGACACCTTTAATACCAGCAAGCCGGAGCATTTGGCCTACTTCACCGTGGAGCAGACGCTGGAGGATTACGCCCAACTGATCACCTATCTGCGCAATGGAAAACGTTTGCCTGTGGTGGCATTTGGTGGCTCCTATGGTGGCATGCTGGCGGCCTGGTTTCGCATGAAGTATCCGCATATTGTGGTTGGCGCACTGGCCGCCTCGGCGCCCATACTTCAGTTTTCCGGGCTGACGCCGTGCGATATCTTCAACAAGATAACCACCTCGGTGTTTGCGACCGCTTACAATGCCAACTGCAGCGTCAACATAGGCAAGTCCTGGAAGGCCTTCGAGTCGATGGCGGCCACAGATGCCGGCAAGAAGCAGCTGGGCGACATCTTTCACGTGTGCAACGCCATCAAGAACGCCGATGATCTGAAGAACTTTATGGATTACCTCGAGGAGGTCTACGGCAACCTGGCCATGGCGAACTATCCCTACAACTCCACATTTCTGTCGCCGCTACCCGCCAATCCTGTGCGCCAGCTTTGCTTTTATCTAAAGGATCTGCATCAGAACGATACGGATCTGGTGGCCAGCATGGCCAGCGCATTGGCTGTCTATACGAATTACACAGGCAGCACCAAGTGCCTGGACTACAACGACTCGAACGCTGGCGCCAACTATGACAGCAAGGGCTGGGACATACAGAGCTGCAATCAAATGGTCATGCCAATGTGTGCCAACAGCAGCGACACCATGTTCCGCACCAGCAACTGGGACTTCAAGGAGGTCTCGGACAAGTGCTACAAGCAGTTCCATATCACGCCCAAGGCCTACGACATCGTGCTGCGCTATGGTGGCCGAGATCTGGAGGCGGCTAGCAACATCATCTTCAGCAATGGCCTGCTCGATCCCTGGAGCGGCGGCGGCGTCCTGAGTGCACCAAACAACCAAATTCATGTCATCATTTTGCCAGAGGGTGCCCACCACCTGGATCTGCGCCAGAGCAATCCCTTGGATCCGGCCTCAGTAACGAGCGCACGTCAGAAGGAGGCGGAGATCATAGCGCAATGGATAAGCCATTTTTAAGCAACAGATTTCGAGTGTAATTTGAATTCTTAATTAATTTGCAATAAAAACAATGATTGAGCCTTATTTTTAAATATTTCTTTAATATATATGCATAAAGGTACAGTTGTTCACAAGAAAGGAAATCTTAAAATTTACAGAAGCAGCAAAAACACACAAAAAATTTAACATTTAAATCAACTTATAAACAAATACATAGTAGTATATATATATCGTGTAAACTTAATAAATAAATATATGCTTTTCTTCAATAACTGCGCTCCAAGGCATTAAATAATAGAAAGAAAATATATAGTATTATTAATAAGGCAAATAGAATAATCTTTATCAAAAAATATTAACAAAAAGTTTGATTTCTTTTTTTTTTTAACTGGATGGAGAGATAACCTGTTCCATTACTATTTCAACATTTTTCGTTTTTTTTTTTCAATTTTTTCATACGCATTTTGATAATTATTTATTTAAGAAATTTTTTTTTAATTTGGTTTAGCACCGGCATAGGACACTTGCTTCGTTTTGCGCCTTTCGCGCACGCTTCTCCAGACCTGGAGCAGAGGGGGCCACAGCTAGTGGACATGTTTTTCGATTTGTCTATGGTACGAATTTTGGAAATGAGTTTCAGGAATGCTTTGAGGTTACAGAGAGCCTTGGCTGCGGGATGGTTATTTGAAGATTCTGCAGCAACACCTGTGGCGGGTGCTCAAAGGCGCAGACCGCTGCTCAAGAGCCGTGGGAGAGAGCTTGGCTCAAGGCAGCGTTTATCTCCGGGCAGCCTCTGGCCATCTAGTGTCCAGAGTGCAAAGCCAAAGTCAAGACGCAGCCTCAGCAGCTGCCACATCCTGAGTTTGGGAGATGAATGCGACAGCCAACTGCAGGCATAGTTCGACCTTCGATTCACACTCTGGACAATTTGGTCTATGTGGGTCATGGTTTGTCTTAAAGGTTGTCCGCTAGCTGGGCCGCACGAATATGTTCCACGATATTCGCCCGGCCACGCCCACCACAGCTCCGGCCTGTAGAGCCGTGCGCTACTCGTTGCATATTTTCGTGTGTGCGTATTTTTTTGCTTTCGTTTTCTTTATCAGCTTAGTTTTTATATACAAAATGTTGGGCATTATAATTTTGGGCATAGGTTATATAGTATATATATATATAAATGTTTGCTGTGCAAATATATATGTATAATGTATATATCGTTAATATATGTTTTGTTTTTCTTGTAAAAGTATTTCGTTATGTGTCGTTAGTTTTTTCTTTTCTTTTTTTCATCAAGTGTTTCTTGCTATATGCTCGTCGAGTAGGTTGTTCAGTATATATTTTATATATATATATATCAATATCTTAGCTGTACATATTTATTTCGGCCTGTTTCAACTGTCTAGCTACCAAGAATAATATACATACATTTTTATTTCATTTTTTGGAAAATTACAAAAATTTACATGACTTAACACACTCGATCGGGCTGGAGGATCGGTTGTCTTATATCTTGTACAAGAATTTTGTTTACAAACATTTTTGCTTACATACAATATTATTTTCTTCATTATTTTTATGTTTTTATCTTTTCGGTTGTTTTTTTTTGTTGTCTGTTTTTTCTCTTTTCAATGTGTAAAGGCATATTCGTATTGTTGTGGGGGATGGGGTGGGATTGGGGGTAGTGGGATTCTATGATCTAATTATATTTGGGAGTGTGGGGCGGGACGTGTTTTGGCCCTGAATTTATTGCACTAATCCAATGACAACAACAAGAACTGTTTACGTTGGCGGCGGGCCATGCGGATAGGAGAGCATGGGCTCCAGACTCCGGGCGAAGGTGTTGGAGAACATGCAGGTATAGTCCTCACCGTGGGGCACCAGTGTTGCCACACCTAAAAGCAGCAGCATGAGCGCCTGTATGGGCAGCGAGGCACGTGCAACGCGCCCGAGGAATCGTGCACCTCGAGCCAGAACCGTGGTATTGATGACATCGCCATCGGCAGCATCGCCATCGCTGCGACTGTGAATGGCAATAGATTAGTACAGATATAGAAATAACCATATAGCAGCTATATAGGAAACATGCTAGACATATCTAGGATACATATATATCTATATATCAAGTGCCAACTAGCAAGAGTATTTGTACTTGTGCATGGTTTTTGCTTGAAAATAAATCAAATTGTACGGGAAAAGAAACTAAACTACTGGAAAATGGAAAAATTAAACAAATTTTCTATTGAATATTTACTTTGCATTTTCTGTGTTGGGTGCGGCGGCCTGCATAGAAGAGGTTGATAATGTAGTATTATCCAAAAGCTAGATATGCCATACAAATATAAAGGAAAAAGAAATAAAAAAATCAAATTAAATTAAATCAAATTTGTAAATCAATTTTTCACACTTCTCGCATCGAGCCAATTTGGTTCTTGAATATTTCACTTACTTTGGTGCGCTTACAAAATTAAAAATATTTGAACTTTTTTTTTCGGGACAAATTGAATTTGAATTGGAATTTGAATTGAATGAGCAATCGTTGCACTTACCTCGCTTGACAACAATTGCAGCGGCACGCCCAGGTTGTCGCCCTCGTAGCCGAGCACGGCGCCCAGCTTGACGATGTAGATGCCGGAGAGACGACGCAGGGATTGCAGACGCAGGCGGAGATCGGTTAGCCTGGAAAGTGTTCTAGAATATTTAAAACATTTGCTGGCGGCTCTTAGATTTGTCAGTTTTGATGAAGTGTTAGAATGGGCGGACGAATCAAATTTTGAGTACCAGAAAGAAAAAACACAAATCAAAAACGCAAACAAAAAAAACAGCAACACAAAAGTTAAGCAAAAAAAAAAATTAAAAGCAAAACTAATTGGTCGAACTAATTATAATATGTGAACTAGCTAAAACGGCAGCCAAAAGCTACGTGAGAGAAAGAGTAGGAAAGAGGGTATATGTGTGTGGCCAAAAGGACAGGTGTTCCGGGAACATTTTTAGTACAATTTTGAGATGGTATTTGAAGTGTTTGAAACTTGGAATAAATTATGTAAACAGGCGTGGCATATGAAATAACAAGCCAAGCCTTTGGCATATCAAAAAACATATCAAAAAAGCCAATTATAAAATTAATTAAATTATAAATATTGATGAGTTGAGAAGTACAAATAAAATGTCTTTCAAAATTTAGAATTTTTTTCTGCAAATATTTGACATTTTTTCCTTTGCCTTTTTTAAGCATTCAAATATTGATTTAAAATTTCAACAATTTAATTTCTTTTAAATTTAAATGTCGGCTTTCTATATGCCATATAAGAGCAAGATATTTGTTTAGTAAATTTACTAAATCTTATGCTAACTAATAAATTAAAGGAAGGAAAAGGCGTTGCTACTGTTTACACATAATAATGTAAAATATTAAAAATACATAAATAGAATATTAAATTAGGACTACACAAGAGAAAAGTAGAAGAAACTAAAAGCTAAATTAAAATGCCGCCCAACTAGCTCTTTATCAAACGCTTGGCCCCGCAGCTCCTCTACGCACATCGATCTATTTAGCAGAAACGGCACCCACGCATTCAGTTCGTTCCGCCCTCGGCACTGGCGCACGCTGGACTTACCTTTCGTAGGTGTGCTGGGACTGCTCCTCGGAGCCCTCGACGGCGCGCAGCAGCTGATCGGCTGCATCCTGCAGGCTGACAACACGCGGCTCACAGCGCTCCAGTTCGGCGCGCAGGTCCTTGAACTTGTTGAACTTGGCCTCGAGCACGCTGCGCTCCTCCGTTAGATCCACCGGCTCGGAGGCCTTGATGGTCTTCTCGGTACGCTGCAGCCAGTCGACCAGCTCATCGATGGTCTGATGGAATTCGCTGTTGCCCATCAGCGCCGTCTGGAGCAGACCCTGCCATTTGGTGGCATTGATGCACACATTATTCCAGCGCTCGTTGTCCGCTTCGAGACGGGAGCGCAGCTGTCGCGCCTTCTCCGTGTCCATGGTGTGCGTGGCCAGATGGTCGCCGACCACATTCAGCGACGAGATGATCGACTTGTGACTCTCCAGATCCAGCAGGAACTCGCGATGATCCTGCGTCACATCTTCCAGCAGCTCAATGTTCGAAGGCGGGCTCGTTTGCGACTTCTGTGTGCTCTCGGCGAACTGCAGCCACTGCTCCAAGCGCCACAGATCGTTGTCGATCTGCTGCCAATTGCGCTGCGTGCAGAGCGGACACGTTAGCCGGCCGACCTCGCTGTGTGGGCAATAGAATAAGTCACGATTAGTCTAGCTGTACAGAGAGTTTGAGTTGCTTAATGAGCGAGTGTAAGCTTGCTGCGTGTCCTCAAACCGAGCAAATTCAGCCGAGTTCCAGGCAAGCTCCAAGCTCGTTTCTTCACTGTGCTCCGCCCTGGAGACTGGCAGCCCATCGAGGGAAGGCAACGCCAGCTTTTGTCTGGCGGATGAACACACAGAACACAGAACAGCGGGCGCACAGCAGGAGCTTGCCTGGTCATGTTATGGCGGTTAGTGCACAGGTAGAGGTAGAGGTAGAGGTGGAGGTGGAGGTAAAGGTAGAGAGTTACGTTAACACTTACTGTATGCATGTGTATTTGTAGGCAGCAGGTAGCAGGCACCTGCTGGCCGCAGAGCCATCATGAATGCGCAGGTTCAAGTGAAGCAGTTGGAAATGTGTGTGTGTGAGACGTAGCAGTGTGTGTGTGTGTGTAAGTGAGCGAGACATAAAGCAATAAAACATTTTGTTAGCCATATAACCATATAAATAGACCCAAACACAATTAACAGAAAATAGATAGAGGATAGTGGACTGAACTAGATAATCGAACGGGAAATATTTGATTTGTATGAAAATCCAAGTTCCTTGATAAGCAAACTCTAATCAGAAATTTAGGGTTTAAAGCAGAATTATTCAGAACTAAAGAAAAAGTTGGAAATTCGATTTTTGTTGAATAAAATATGAAGTTTTTTAAATATGCTAGATTCTGTTTACATTTATATTTTTATATATATTTTTCCTATAATTCATTCAAGTAAGTTCCCACTGAGCTCTGCGATTTCATAGAAATGAATAAAAAAATAATAAATTTAAAATGAATTATAATTAATTTACAATTATTATATGTACAGCTTGAAAATTGACAATTCATTGAATTTGAAGTAGAAATGGAAAAACTAATCTTGCTTTGTACTGAGTTCAATTAGAAGCGTGGATAGAAGCCGCTTGCCAAACTGGACCCAGATCACAAATGGAACCTTAGTTCAAACAGTTTTTAATTGGCTAATCCCTGGACGCAACTTGCTAACCAGAGCCGATAATAGCCTCGAATAGTATAAAAGCGGATATAACGGGGAACAATCTACAGAGCACAGCAGTTTGCAAGTATATATATTATTAGTTAAAGGAATTACCACTAGTAGAGATATAAATAGAGAGAGAGAGAGAGAGAGATATGGATAGATAGGAGACTGCTTAGCTTACCTTGCATTTTGATCGTGCTGTTGGCGCGCCTTCCACTGCGATTGCAGCGTCTCGAAGCGCAGCGCCAGCTCTGACACGACTTCCACTTGGGCAGCTTCGTTGTCCGCCTGGCATTCGGTTAGCAGCAGATGACTGAGATGCTTGACCAGCTCCGTGGACGACTGGGCATTGCCAAGCAGCTTGGCAATCTTCTGTGGACCCGGCTTGCGCGTCTTGTCCACAATGGTGCGCTGCAGCTCCTCCAGATTGTTCTGGCACTCGACCACCGCCGTCTGCAGCTCCATGATGTACGCATCCTTGGCCGTAATGGACGTTTCCCGCTGCAGCTGGGCCTGGCGCAGCTTACGCTGGGACAGTGTATTCACTTGGACACTGGCATGCGTCTCGTTGACGGGCAACGCAGCCGCTGCCGCGGCCGCAGCTCCATCTCTGGCCCGAGCTAGCCAAGTCATCTTCCGCGTCGTGAGAGTCGTCTGCACCGTCTGCCAGAGCGTTGTATATTCGGCAATCAGTTTGATCAGATGCTTCAGCTGCGAGGGCTGCTGCTTGGAGCGTACTTCGGCCTCCTTGCCGAGGGCATTGGCCTGCTCCACTTGCTGCTCGGCCTGCTGCAGCTTACGCTCCAGTCCGTCCAAGCGCTGCAGCACAGCCTTCGGGTCCATGGCAACGCTCTGATCCTCAGCGCTGGGCACCTGTTCGAGGGCCTTTTGTATGTTCGCCAGCGACTTGGTCAGCTCGCCATGAGCCGTGTTGAAGTCACGCATCAGCTTGGCGTCCTTGTCAATGGCGTCCAGCTGGGCGTGGCAGCGCGGCGTCAACAGACGCCACTTGCTCAACATCACCTTGGTGGGCATCGTCAGCTTTTGTATGTTCTCGGGCTCCACGCCGGGACTCATTGTGAGCCGGGCATAGGTCTGCTCCAGCTTGCGCAGATTAACGGACTCCGCCTCGAGCTCCTCCAGCTTGTCGCGCAGCGCCTGCTGTCGCTCCTCCAGCTTTTGCTTGCTCGCGTATTTCTGTTCGCGCTCAAACACCAAGAGCTGGGCCTCCTGCTTGGCCAGCCAACTCTTCTGCTCGGTGGTCAGCTTGATGAGCTCCTGCAGTGAGTTCCATGTGTCCAGTATGCGAGCCTTGCGCTGCGCCGACTGGCTGCACACGTTCTTCCAGCGCTGCTCCAGATTCTGGGCGGAGGAGGCCAGGCCCGTGGTGTTCACCTGGGTGCGCCAGCTGTCGGCATCGTTGAGCAGCATTTCGACCAGGTTAAGCACCTCGCCGACATTGCTGCTGTGGTTCTCAATCGAGCGCTGGATTTTCTCGTGTTCACTCAGCTTGGCCTTGATCACGTTGGGCGTGTAGCTATCAAAGCTGAGCGGCTTGTCCAGCTGTGACTCCACCTCGAACAGCCAAGTGCGGATGAGCGCGATGCGCTCCTCCAGGCGCAGCAGCGTCTGCTTCAGCTCGCCAATCTTTGTGGCGCGCTGTTTGCACATGAACTTGAGTCGATTCCAACGATCGATCAGCGCATCGCCCTGCTGCTGCACCTGTGTGCGCACCTGCTGCGCCTGGGGCGTGGCATCTGCATAGAGCGCCTGCAGCTCTCGACTCGTCGAGAGCAGCCACTCGCGCTCCTTGTCGCGCAGCTGCAGCTCACCATTGATTTGCTGCTCCAGCTGTTTGGCTGCCTGTTCGGGATTGGCAATGGCAGCCACGTCTCCGTCTCGTTCCACACGCTCCTCGAGGTCGCGCAGCCACTGCGAGATGCGTGCATAGCGCGCTTGGTAGTTGGAGAGCAGCGACAGGCGCTCCTCGATGCCATTGATGAGCACAGCCAGCTGATAGTCGAGATCGGCGTGCTGCTGAGAGAGCAGGAAACTGCGCTGGCGTATGGCCTTAATGTCGTGCGGACTTATGCACTCCTTGAGCTCCTCCTGGCTGACCGTTAGGCTCTCCAGCGTGGGCGTCTGCGCGCCCAGCTGGACACGTTGCGCTCGGAGAGCAGCCAGACGCTGCTCGATTTCGGCGGGTGTTGTGGGCAGTGCATCGCCAGAGCTGCTGTCCAGCAGCTGCTGCGCCTTGGCGAACTCCGTCTGCAATTGCTGCACGCGCTGCTCGTACGAGTCCGCGAGCTGCTTGATGCGCTTGAGGAAGTTTTGCCAGGTCTCGAGTGCGGCGCGCAGATTGCTAATGCGCTGATTGATGCTCGCCTGTTCCATGCGCATGGCGGTGGCCAGCGCGTCGTCGCAGTACTTCAGCAGCTGCTGCTGTTGCGCCTTCAGCGCTGCGCTCTGCTGTTCGCCGCGCGCCAGCTGCAGCAGCAAAGCATCGAGTCGCGCCTTCAGGTGCGGCACGCGCTTCAAGTGAATGTAGCGCAGCTGCAGAGCATTGCGCTCCGCCTCGCGCTGCCGCAGCCAATCCAATAGCGCTGCCAGCTGCTGGCGATACGCGTTCCAGCCGCTCACCCGACGCTCGAGCTCGTCGTTGCGCTGCATTATGCGCGAGAGCGTCTCGTTGTGCAGATTGGTCAGCGCCTTGTACTGCTCCGATAGCTCCGATTCGAGTGGCGTCTCAGCCAAGACGCTCTGCTGTGAGATGAGCAGATTCTGGTGTATGGCACACAGCTGCTGCTGCTCGCGCAGGCTGCTGTAGTCCTCGGGTATGGCGCAGGCCAGGAAGGACTGCACGTGCTGCAGGTACTGGCGCCACAGGCGCAGTGCCTCCGAGCTGTTCTGTGTGCGGGCCAGGCGCGTGGACAGGCGATGGTACTCCTGGAACGTATCCTGGAATATCTTCTGCCACATGGCCAGCACCTCCAGGATGCTGTCGTCGGCCACGGCAGCGGCCACGGGGCTCGCCAGCTCATTGTTGTTCTCCTGGCGCTCGCGCAGCTGACGCAGCTGCTCCTCGGTGCGTGCCAACGTCTGCAGATGGGCACGCAAGGCTGCCAACTGCTCCTCGCTCTCCTTGGGCGTCTTTGGCTCGCCACGCGTTATGTCCTACAACGAGATTTATTATTAGTAACAGGTTCCACTAAGCTGGTGTGTGTGTTGGCAACGTTTTGTGCATGACTAATTGGCCTGACCCTAATAAGCGCTCTCCAGTTACAGTTGGCCATGCACGGCTTCACAATGGGCCAACAGCAAGCTAAGAACTTTAAAGGCATGCACGACTGTTAGCTGCGCTATGCAACTGACTCGTGCATAGCAAAGGCCAACAAACAATCTACCACGTTCGTAACTCCATTTACAGGGCATGCGAAACGTGGCAACTCTTTCCGCCAACTGGCAATGACCTCATGCTAACAAAGCTCACGCGCAGTGCAACGTTGTCTGGACGGCACAACACCTGAAGAGTGCGGGCGCAGGTGGCGACGGTGGCATGTGTGGCATGTAAATTTCAAATGGCTGCACAGTGGTGCGAGCAACAGCAAACAGCAGGCGCAACATGATTTCCTATGACAGCTGCCCAGCTTACATATTTATAGAAAGGGGCGTGGTCAATAAAAATTAAATATGCCCGCACTCAAACCAAAAATTTACGCCCTGTTCACAATCAATAATGACCACTGTCGGCACATATATATATACATATATATATATATATATCCATATAGACATGGGGGCAGCGAAAGTTTTTCAACTTTTAACCCACTTAAAATAGCATGTCCTTCATATTGTATTAGCAACAACAACAACAAGTGTCCGCCTCGTTGTTGTTGTCAACGCTGTGGGAATTTCCGCACGCTAAGCTCCAACCCTATGCTAATCATCATCAGCGGCTCTCCAATCGATAGATAGTTGCCACTCGGTTCAGTTGGCGGCTTGCACTCACCTGCTGCACATTGTTGAAGTAAACCTTGGCCTGTGTCACCTCCTTGTCGAGCTCCTTGCGCTCCTTGTCCTGCGTCTCGGCCACATTCGCCAGCGTCGTGATGGCATCCTTGCACTCGGCCAAGCGCTGACCCAGCGCGTCCAGCTCACCCTGCATCAGCGAGGAGGCATCCAGACCCACATCGGCAGCTATTTTGGCCACAATATCGCGCAGCTCCAGCAGACGATCGTTCTGTGTGCTAAGATTCTCTTGGCAGACCTAAAGCAAAATCAGTTCGAAATTGGAAATATATTTTAAAAACGTGTCTAGTTGCTGTGCTAACTATATTTAAATAGTTATTGAAATGCATTTCAAACAGTTTTTTTTTAATTCAAGAGAGTCTTCTTAGACTTAGCTCATTTCATTTCTTTTTTTCATTAAAAAAATTTCAAATAAATAATGCAACTAGAAATTTAACAAATTTCTCATATTCTTAAAGTGTTTCTATTATCAATAATACGACCCTAATTTGTGTTTCTTCTGCCAACTATTAAATCTCTTTTATATCTTTCAACTAGCTTTTCTGCTAGAGCAATTCTTAGCTCTTGGTTTTCCCTTCAACATAAATACCCCAACCCAAAGACTATTTCAGTCCCAAGTTATTTCTTTGCATTTAGAAGCACTATAAACGCATCTCATAAGATGTCTTTGTCTATTTCAGTTGCAATGCAAATGTCATTGATATATATATTTATATATACATATCACGATCAAAGTACATTTAGCTTAAGCCGGCTGGGCTTGGCAGTTAGCCCTAGTTAAGAGCTCGCCGCATGCTGCTTATCAAGCGAGCGCCTTGTCTCGTGCTCGTTCTAATTGCATTTCTATTTCTAATTAATGTGTCGGACAAGAGCAACGAGTGAGTGCTCACTGCAGTCTTAATTTCGATTTCAATTTCAATTTCAATTTAGAAAAGAGGTCACCCGCAGGGCGCAACACCAGCTATTTAAATATATATAAAAAAAAACGCGCACGCATTAAGTAATTTAAAGAGCACGCGTCCGGCCCTACCGCGTGCCCTATGATATCATCTGTGAAATATTTTGGCTTTATCACAAAAAAAAACAAGAGAAAAAAACTCGAAACTTTGTAATCGCTGTGCAGTTGACATTGAGACTCTAAAGCACAGATTTAAGAAAATATTTTCATATTTATCTACAGCTTCGGACACGCTCAAGGCGTGTATTCTAGCAATCTCATAGGCAAATACACACACATAAATATATTTATATATAGGTATGCCTACGGCTATGGCTATGCCGATGCCTTCCTATAATTTCGTGTATTTGTATTTCTTATTGAGCGAACAGATAAAGCAGCTATATAAACACAGAGCTTACGCTTTTGGGTTGATAAACTTCGCCATGTGAAGTGACAGTTGGGTCTATATGCCAAGCCACCAAAATAATTACAGCGCTTCGTGGTCTGGCCTCTATAATGACCCTAATGATCAATAAACACACATAAATAACAAAACTATGCGTTAATATTTAAAGCAAATAAAACGAAAATCAAAACGCAGACCAAGACAGCATTTTATGTTTATCTACAGAATGACGAAGATTTAATGCTCTAACAAATTTGTTGTTTACATAAATTAGATGCAGATAAGAGATATTTTGGCTATTATTTGAGAAGATCTAAGAGATATTTTGGCTATTATTTGAGAAGATCTAAGATGTTTTTTATATAAGCTTGGAGCTATTTGGTGTAGAAGTAGATGAATAAAATTGCATCTTGATATATGGATATACACATGTATGTATTTATGTATATATGATATATATCATATTCCGTAGTATCTATCATTAGAGTCCATATGAGCTATAACCACTTTTTGGACTGCCTGAACGTTTGTCTTTCCCTATTTTTGTGTCAAACAAAATAATTTATGACACAAACAACCAATATACACCTTCACACACATGTGCCTAAGTATCTACACACACACACTCACACATGCCCACATGAAAGTTAGCTCACTGGCAGCCAATTTCCATGTGCTCTGTTACAGGCGATTACAGTGACGCGCCCGAAAATTGATTGGGCTGCGCGTTACGGCTGAAAATCAATGTAATTACAGCCCGGTCCGGTCCAAGTGTGTATCGCAATTAAACGTTGTCGACGTCGTTGCTTGCCGCCAAAAAAAAAAAAAAAAAAAAAAAAAAAAACAAATGGAACGGCAACTGCAAACAGAACCCCACTACAACTAGCATTTACAACAATTACGAGTCACTTACCTTGGCATGTTGCATGGTTTCCAAGGGTTGCTCCAAGGACTTGACGCTGTCCATTTGCTGTTCAATGCAGCTCTTGACCGCTGCTGAGGCGTTGCGATACTTGTCCCAGAGCTCAACGGCTCGCTGGTAGCGTGTGCAGAGCTGTTGCAGATTCTCGGTGGTATCATTCCACGCGACTACCGCATCCTGTACGGACGATTCAATTTGTTCCACAATCTGTACATCACAGCTTTCGATCAACGGCTTGGCGGCGCCCTTAAGCTCGTCCAGCAGCTGCTCTCGGCTGTGCAGATCGCCGGCAAGACCCTGAGCGTGAGGTGTGAATAGAGCGAAAGCGCCAAAAAAAATAAATCAAATTACATTAATGAAAACGCTCGGAGCAACAATTCACGCGATACGCGCGCGATTCGAAGTTTTAACGTCAACTGCGTGACAAACGACGCAACGAAACTCAGAGCAAATGCAATGCACGAAAGCTTATTTTTCGAAGAGAGCTTTTTAGTATAAGAGCTTTGCGACTGCTACGGCAGCAGCAGCTTTTGTAATTTCGAACGAACGAACGAAGCTAAAATTAGCAGCGGAATATTGAAAAGTCCGTGTCGAACTGAAGGCAGGCAGAAAACGCGCGCGGTTTTATAGCGACTTTCGCACTGCTGATAAGGACTGACAAAAAATTCCATAGGCAGGCAGGTAGCCAGGTCAATTGTTTTCGACTGCTGGCTAACGGAACTGCTCTCATAAATCACTGAATAAATAAACAAACAGCTTACCTCCAATCTCTCGGTGGCCTTGCGTAGGCGTTCGTAGTCAACCTGTCCGTGGACACGTATCAGTTCCATCATGAAGTCCGTCTCCTGCACAGAGCCATGGACCAGCTCGAGCTGGCGCTCGTAGCGTAGCCAAAGCGCCAAACGATTGCGTAGTATAGCCATAATATTGGTGCACTTGCTCTCGAGGAAGGCATGATCGTCCTGCAGCTGGGAAATGTCACGCTCCAGCTTCACCGGCGACACGGACATCTTCAGACGCATGGGCAGCGTGTGGAGCATTTGGCGAATGCGCATTATCTCCTGCCAGCTGCCAACGAGCTCTTCGCCCGCGCTCTGACAATCGGCGACGGCCTTTTCTATTACGTCTGCACCTTGGCGCTCGGCGGATTCGCACTCATCCAATATAACTGAGATCTTGGCTTGATGCTTGCGCTGATTGCTGATGCCCTCGTGTATGGCCTGCAGCTGATCCCGCAGCACGGATGCAAACTCCAGCTCCTCAGATATTTGTGTCGTTATCTTGTGCGAGAGCGCGAAGAGTTCGCCCACTTTTTCGGGCTCAATCGTCGGCTCCTGGAGTCCAATGCGGCCCAACTCGTTGCCAATGAAGCCAACGCGTGTGCGCAGCACCTGGACGCGCTCGATGTACAGGCAGAGCTCCTCCTCGTTTTTGATGACGCCCTTCATGCTGGTCATGGTCAGGTAGATCTCCTGCAGCTCACGTTCCACCAGCTTCAGCTTCTCATCGGCAGCCATATCCTCCGAGGAGAGGCAGTCTACAATGTTGCGCTGTATTTGCTCAATGGCCTGGGCAACTGCCTGCCAGCGATCCTCGAGCTGGGCATGGAACTGTCGCTGCAGCATCTCATCGGCTAGCGGTATGACCTGCAAGGACTTCTCCAAACTGTGGCCCGCATCGTTGCGTATATTGTTATGCAGCTCGAAACGGGCTTTGACCTCCCAGAATTGTCTTATATGCGGAATGGGCTGCTCTGTGGGCTGCTTTGGTATTTGGATTTGGCGCAGTTCCTGTTCAGCCTCGCGTACGAATGCCTCCATCTTCTCTGTCTGCTGTTCGTACTGCACCCAGATCTCCTTGAAGACGAGCAGGCGATGCAAGTAGAGCGCCACCTCCTCGCGCAGCTTAAGCAGCACGATCAGGGCATCATTGGTTTCCTCGACCAGATTGGGCGCCTGGACCAGCAGCTGCATTTTGTTGGCAATGCCCGACAATTGCGTCATCTTGACATAATGATGCGAGATGTCGTTGCTCAGAGATTGATAGAGCGTTGCATATTGATCGTAGTCGGCGGACGTAACAGCTGAAAGATCTGGCACGCGTTGCTGTGCCACTTGCAACCACTGCAGCTCGTCGCGCATGCCCCTCTCCAGCACGGTCCAGCGCGAGGCGGCTTGGACCAGTTTCGAGGAGCGCTCCGAAGCACGCTCCAACAGCTGTGTGGCCTTCTGATAGAGTTGCTTGTGCAGCTCCGAATGCTTTTCGCGCGTCTCGCTGTCAATGTTCTCCTCGAGCGACTCCAGCATGGCGCGACAGTGGCTCAGATTGACAAAGAACTTGCGTTGCTTTTGCACCTCGTTGTTCAACTGCTCCAGGGAGCTGGACACAATGGGACTCTCCATCATTTTGTCGGCCAGCACCGTAATGTTGGTGAACTTCTTGAGCGTCTGCTCGTACTCCTCGGCCAGCAATTGCAGCTGCAGTAGCCGATCACGTTCGGCTTCGATGTTATTGCCAATATTTTTGCTCTTCTCATAGGTGCCATGCACATCCTGCGACATTTTCTTGTTGGGGAAATCGCGCTGGAAGAAGCGTGCGGTCTGCATAAGTTCGCCTAACTGTTGTTGCCCCGCCACATGGTTCTGCTCCAAGTCATCGAGCAGCGCCAGTTTTACTGACAACGGATGTTCCTCGCTGATTGCCTGCTCGTAACGATCCTGCAGGAAATCGAGCAATGTGACGACTTCTCTGTAGAGCAGCTCAAAGTTCTGCCATTTGTCCAGGTCCTTGATGTCCTGGGCCTGATTTTGTTGCGTCACCTGCTCCACTGCATCGATGTGCTCCTTGAGCGTGTCCACGCACTCCGACAGCTCCGACTGCGTTGGCTTGTCCGCATGAGCGAGTTGTCCCTCGAGCTGTTTGACATTCGCTTTGATTGTGTTCAACTCGGTGTTCAGCTGATTGTAGTTGTCCATCTTCTGTTCCGACGGACCTTCATTAGAGTTTTGGCGTATGAGATAGACACGATACTCGATGGTTTCTAGCCACGTGGAGACTTTTTCAATAACTGTGATGACCGTGGTGTGGATAATTGTCTTATCGCCGTTGCGTATTGCCAAGTCCAAGTTTTTCAATCCATTATTGACCTCTTCCATACGCTGATAAGTGGGGATCTCCTTGATCTGCTCGGACAGTGTGGCCAAGTGCAGGACATCAGTCAGCGGTGTTGGCTGCTGTGGCGTCGTCTGCTTCAGTTGATTGATGCGAGTTCCAATTGCCTCCTTGGCCAGCTGTGTTTGTCTGCCCGGATACAGCTGCAAGCCTTCGCTCATGATAAACTCTTGCGTGGCCTGAATGGGAGTGCGATCCACATTTGTGGAGCCCGTCGGCGCTAGCCAGATGTTCTGTTCGTTCAGATTATCTGGCCCTGGCGTTATGGGCACCACCAGCTCCTCGGTGGGTGAGGCAACTTCCTCAATGGTTACCGAAGATATGGGTCCACCGCGTGACTTGCTGCCCTGCTGCTGCGAGGCAATGCTGACTTTGTTCTGCTCAACAATGTGCACCGGCAAATCGGGGTATTCATCGTATACTGTGGTCTTTGTTATTTGCAATTGCACTCGCTGTGGCTGCTGTGGATCAGCTTCAGTGGGCTCAAAGTCCGGCACTGGGGGCAGATGCGGCACCTCTTCAATTTGTTGATTGGTTGAGAGCACGATGCCTGATTCGCCCAGCAGTTCGGGTGCAATTTCGACGCTTACACTGATCTGTGGATCGGCAGCTGGTGGTGGGTGTGGTGCGGGCTTGCGCTTTTCCTTCTTTTTCCTTTCGGGCTTGGGCAGCTGCATAGTTTGCGTGTATTCGTACAGCGTTGGCTCCACTACAGATGCGTCCGAGTCTGCGGGTATGGCCACAGTGGTTCTCACCTCCAGTTCGTAGGGTTCAGATATGGATGTGGCTGTCAAGGAGTTGTCATCAAGCGAAATCGGCTGTGGCTCCTCACGCGGTGTTGTCTGCACGAGAACATCACTCACATCGACAGCTGCTCCAGGCTGGCTAGCCACCAGCTCAGATGGTTCAGGCGTTATTGTTTGCATATGCCGCTCCTTGGTGACAATGTCTTCCATGAAAGTGGACTGCTCCTTTGTGGGCACGGGCAAGTCAATGGTCATGTCCTTCACCAATTCCGTAACCAGTGGCTGGATGACATGGTCGCTGCTGACTTCAGTCAAACGCGGCGAATCTTTCGGAGTTGTTTGCAGCTCTTTCTCGGTGGTGGTTGTCATGATGGTTTGGCTAGAAATTTCAATCGTTTGCCGAGGCTGAGCGTTCTCATCGGTTTGCATTTCCGTGCTGAGTGTCTCGATGGGTTCGGGTTTCTCGTCGGTGCGTGGCGTTGTCTGTGCTTCGGTTTCAGTGATTTCCACCGTCAGGGTCTGCGATTCGTTCTCCTGATTGGCCGGCTGCACATCTAAGCTCGTTTGTACAGCTGTCTCATCCAATTTGGGCATGTGCTGTGGTGATGTTTGAGAAGATTTCATATCCAGCTCAGTAGCAACTGTTGGCGGCGTGGGTACACGCGGCGTCGTTTGTTGTTCCACATCTTCGAGAGCGGCAAGCTCTACTATCTCTGTAGGTATAACCACGTGCGTAAATGGATCACGCGACTGCTCTGTGGGTGAGGGTATAACTGAGTCTTCCACCACCTTGACACTGTGGTCAATGTCCATGCTGGATAGGTCACTCTCTGTACTTAGCTGCACGACCGCTTCGTGACGCAGTTTGCCTTCGGATTCTAGGCTGGTAGTATCATCACGTAGCGAATGATCGGATGAGCGTGGCACCTGTGAGTCTTCGTCTTGTAGTGGCTCCTTTTGTTTCTTCTTTTTGCGGCGCTTCTTCTTCGAATCAGCCGAATCCTCATCGGTTTTCTCAGTGACAGACTTGTCCTCTGCTTCGTAGCCCGTTTCGTGCGCCGATTCCGGCTCAACGTCGGAAATGGGTGCGACCAGCGGTTCGGGTTGTTTTTCTATCTCTGCTTCTTGCTCGTCTCTTCTCTTCTTTTTCTTTCGACTTCGCTTGGTCGACACATCATCGTCGTGCTCGACAGGCGCCGTGACAGTCTCCACAATGGTCATGCTTACCTTAGCAGGAGTCGTCGGAGCAATGCTTTCCTCAAGCTCTGTCGTCGGTGCCATGGCAACCTTGAGCACACCAGCTCCTATGGTCTCTACAGAGGGCGCCGTTATCTGATAAGTCTTGCGCGGTGAATCTGCGGCGGCGGCCTCGCCCGAAATAAATAACTGCGTGGCCACAGTTATATCTTTTTGCGGCATCGTCAGCTCTTTTTCGGCAATATCAATGGGAGGCACTTCTGCGACAGATTCCTCAACCTCTATCATAGATGCTGGCGGAGCTGCTGGTTTTATCTGTTGAGATATCGTGGGTTTAGGCTGGGTTTTCGGTTTATCTGTGGCGGGCAGAGCTTGTGCTTGTTCAGCGGCTAGGAAGGCTTCTATATCAGCTTTAGGTTTAGCTGGTATCTGTTCCGGCTTGGTTTCAGTCTCTGTCTCGGATTTGATGCTAACAGCTGTGGGGATTGTTGGCTCAAAGGCATATGATTCCAGGGAAATGGAGTTGCCAGTCTCTGGACTAGTTGGCCAAATGGATTCTACAGGCATTGAAGTCTCCGCTGCGGTAACAGCTGGAGGAGCCGCCTGCTCGACATGTTGGGAAAAGTCGATGTTTGTGTTTTGCAAATGATGTTCCTGCGGCCAAATTTCCTTAATGTCTTCCACCATCGGCTGGCTCTCTGACGTTGATGTTGTTGTGGTGGTTATTTGAGTGGTGGTTGTGGGCGCTTTAGGTGCTGTTACTGCAGCTTCTGCAACATTAACGGGACTGATAGTTTCAACATTTACGATTTCTTCAATGTCTACTTGAGGTGCTGGCAATTCTACAGGTGCTGCTTTTGTCGTATCTGTTGTAATTGCAGTTGTTGTTGTTGTTGCTGTTGTTGGTGGTGGTGTCTGTTCTTGTGTGGTGGTGGTGGTGGTGTTCGAGATGTTGATAGACTCAATATCAAATACCTGTTGCTGCGGTTCAACTGTCTGTTGTGACAGATCCGTTGCAACTTCTTCGATGACAACGCCCGGTTGCTGCATCATGTTCTGGAACTCCTCCTCGCTCACCACTTTGCCGTTCACAGTGCGCACGATATTCACATTGACATGCGGCATTGTTTCCTCCTCAGTCACCTCAACCTCTTCGGGCTCCTCAACCACCTCTTCGGTTACGTGCTCCTGGCCATCAATGATGACCACGCGTTTGATTATCTTACGCGTCTTGCGCACCACCTTACGCGTCACCTGCTGCAGTACCGTGTGTATGCTGCTACTTTGACGATCCACTGTAGACTCGCCAGCTGCTGCACGGAATGGCTGCAAATTGCCCTGCGCATCGGGACTTAGCAGCTGTTCGTATTTCTCAATAACTGGCTCCGTCTCGAATTCACTGACAGTCACAGCCTCTGGCTGAGAGCCATCCAGGAGTGTGCCACGTGTTTGCTGCGTCACAACGGTGCGGTAAGCACTCTGCTGTGGATCAGCCACGGTGTCCGTGGTCTGCACATTCTCCAGATTTATCTGGCCTGTTGATTGTACTTCAATGTTACCATCTGCATCGCTAACGGTCTCAATGGAGCTAATCTGCTGCTGTTGCACAATTTGCTGACGAGTTCTCGTGATTTTCTTAACGACAATGTGCTTGGTGCCATCGGCACCCACTACCACCTCAGTTGTGGTCTCGTCGGGTTCAACGAATGTCGTCTCAAAAGCTTGTGGCACATTCTTCATTATCAGTTCGGTCGCTCGATCAACGTCGCCCTTGGGCTGTTGATGGTAGCGCGCCTCGATTTCCACATCCTTCGGTTGTTCGGGTACATCCTTGTTGAGTTGTGTGTCAATCTGTATCGTTTCCTGACCATCCTGCACAGTTTGTGTGACCATTATGTTTTCAGTGGGCGCACGTTCTTTGATCGTTTGCTGTGCGACTTCTGCCGTTTCGATGGCGACCAGCGGCTGCGGCTCCTGGAAGCTGGTCTGCGCCTCCATATTAATTGTTTCGATCTGTGGCTGTGGCTGTGGCTCCGGCAGCTGCTGCAAGCTCAGCGATGTTTGCGTCTCCACATAAACACCCGTGGGCTTTATCTCCTCTTCAGGCATAGAGCTCGAGTCAATTGTATTCTCACTGGACTCTATGGAATCAGGCGCTGCGCTCACATGAACTGGTGCCAGTATCTGCGCATCAGCCAGCACGCGCTGACGTTGGGATTCATCTCGCTTGGCCTTGCGGAGCTCCACGATGCGCTTCTCAATGGTAAAGATGCGCGTGGTGGCCACGGTGATCTGCTCTCGCAATATGATTATGATGCTCTGCAGCTGTTCCATCAGCGTGTTGGCCAGTGGCGCGACATCGGAATGTGTTTGCAGCTCACGCGTTTGCTCGACCAAATCATCCATGGATTGTTGACGATCCTTCAACGTGCGCAGCAATTGCTGGCTACGCTCCACCTGTGTCTTAAGCACATGCTCGTCGGTGCTGCTATCCGTTGTGGGCTCAAACGAGGCCAATTCGGCCGAGACCTCATTGATCCAGCGTTCAAGCTCCAACAAATGTTTCTGATACTCATCGATCTCTTCCTCGCGTTTCTTTTGGCCATGCATGGCGTTCTGTGCAGATGAAAGGTTTAATTTTAACTTTAATCACGTACAGATAGGCTGATACTCACGGCTATCATGGAAATGCCTTGTTGTGTACGCCTCAACAGTAAATCGATGCGATCTACTGTCTCGTTCAGCAAACGCTCAGTGCCAGGGTCTGTGGGCAATGTCTTTGCTTGATCTTTGAGTTTTAGAGCTTCTTTCTCATGTACTTGCAGATTGTTTTGGATTAGCTGTGCATCAGGTAAAACAAATAGGGATTAACCAAACGGTTGTCCGAGTAACAGTACACAAAGAAATAAATAAATAAATAGCACAATTTGTGTCGAATATATATATATATACATATATATATATATATGAGCTAATAAGAATTCAAAGATTTAAAAAGGTTCGACTACTATATTGTACGACCACATGGAACTGTACTTATCAAGACAAAAGTATTCTAATCGGAAAACTTCTAACTGTACTATATAGACATATTTATGTACGATTGTTTATGGAATGATGCGATTGTGTTATTTAACTAGTGTGACACACGCCAGCATCCATTAATCGTTTCTTAATTTGCAACTAACTATTAACTACGGCTATATACAGTGTCAGTATTATTATTTAACTAATAGTTATTATTTGAAATAAAAGACGTGCTCGAACAGGCGTTCCAAACGCAACATAACAATTACCTTCAATCCCTGTTGCATGCCCTCCAAGCTGCTGTGGTTCATGTTCCCAATGCCATCCTCGACTGTTGAGAGCGATTGCAGCAGTTCGTCGAGCTCTTGTGAGATATTATCCTATATATATATAATTGCATGGTGTCACGTGTGTGCAATGTGTGAGGGAATATTAATAAACATGTTAATAAAAATAAACACGGCATATTTTTCCATCAATTAGCTAGTTGAAAACGTAAATATTTGTTGCCGGCTTCTATACACACTCAACAACAATATATTTACATGAAAGGGTGTATAACAATATTCTTTTTGGAATGGATGCAAAGGCACGGCCATATATCTCCTTAAAGGTATAAGTAGTATACATATATTTTTTGGCATAGATATATAATTGCATTTAACATAACGCATGCGTTCATGGCAATACAAAGATCTTAAGTTATACATGATGGGCAGCAGAATATGAATAAATGGCGAAAAGGACAGCGGATAGACAAAAGCACCAAATGCAAAGTTCCGGGCGTAAAAAGGAATCTTACTTGACTGAAACTAAATATAAAATATTCTTAATTTTTGGCAAAATAAAATATATGAATGTAATGGCAAGCAACTCTAGTACTTGGAAATATACACACATAAGATATATATAGGCTTATAAATATTTTTAAAAGCAAGTTATAGAGAGCAGCGGAATCGAAAGACAGTCGGAAATGCACGACTTGCAGTTACCCTGTACCCCAGTGTTGTAATTTGTAGATTTTATTTCATGTTAAGATTTTGTAGAACATGCAGAATTTGTTATAAATCTATTATCATATATATTTTTTCATAATACCTAAGCTTTATGTAGCTGAAAAATTATCTTATCAGTCATTAGAGAACATTAAAGATATATATACGTATTCTACAAATTTCTAGATTTATAGGAATAGCTATTCATATATTAATTTTATAAAATTTAATTTTATAAAATATTTAGGGCAGCCCAAAAGCACGCTAAGGTAGAAACTAGTAAATATGCATATAAAATGAAGAGGTGAGCTTGAAAACGGACTGATAATCGAGCATATATTTATATGTATATATATAAATTAAAATGTTTCTGTTTCATATATCGTCAGCTAACAGTTACAGTTATGGGTACAGGGTAAATCGATATAAAAAATTTAAATAAATACATATATAAATTTTCATACTGCTTTTTTTGACACGTAGTATTTATAACGTTGTAGTTTCTTCAATATATATTTTACTACTCTTCAAAATGTCCTGCACTCGCACTCACAAATATCATGTTTTTTTCTTTTTTTTGGCAGCCCTTTAAACACCGTTTCTCAGGAATTTAATTTGATTTTGATTTCACAAAATTGTGTGCTCATTTCGCATTGAACTCACGATCTAAACTAAAAGAATCAAATGCACAACACACTTTTGCACTGCCTGAGATATTTTTGAGTAAGTAATACGGGCTGGCTGCATAGCATGGATCTTGATTTTATTTATAGCGAAAATGCCGCAAGAGCAAAAGGAAAAGGAAAAGGAAAAGGAAAAGGAAAATCGCTTAACATTTGGCGAGGGCTGCAGGGCGGCAGACGAGAAGGCAATGAACTCATAAGTTAACAATCTGTGATACATAAAAATGGGCATGTATTCTGCTAGAAAACCTGTGCATGGGGTGTGCACACTTTTGAGCAGCACTGTGCAAGTGCAATTGCGTGCCTGTGTGTGCATAGGTGTGTGTGTGTGTGCGTGTGTGTGCCGCCTCTACGAAAATAAAACTGTGCAAAAAATGTATTTAAAATAGATCTCAATTTATATATATTAAAACGTGCAGGTTGGTTAATATTTATTTTATTATGTTAAGTTTGACTCTGGTACGTAGTTACTACTAGCTATTAGTAGTAGCTGGTTTTACAACAGGTTAAGATCAATTAGTAAGGAACATTTGGTAATGCATCGATCAAACAACTAATCTAGGTAGAAGGAAATTGTGTGTATAAACTTATAGAAATAGGCTTAATCTTAAAGTTATTTTTTATATAGATGAATATCGTTTAGCGAAACAACACGTACAATACAAAAATACAATAATAAACAAAATAAAAACTTAGTAAATTAAAAATGCAAATCATAAGATAAGTTTTTAACAAATCGAGTTACGTTAGTATATATATAGTATTCATATAGATAGATAGATATTTTATATGTTTCTTTTTCTTTTTTATTTGTTATTGTTATTTGTTATTGTTTGGGCGCTTGCCATGCTGCCAAATTCCAACATAGCTGAGAACAGCAAACCGTTGGTCGACCTTACTGTAGGCCATTGCCAGGTTGCGTCTCTGTTGCTGGTGGCAGCAATTGACAGCTATTGTTGCAGGCAGTGCCGCAACAACAACAACAATTAGAGCGGTTGCCGTATAAAAGCCATGAACAAATACCGAAACCACACAAAAAAGCTGCAAATATTAGAATTATGAATAACTGAACGCTCAATGTGATTTTCACCTTTTGGCGTTGTTGTTCGAGCAAATCATTGCTCGATGTTGTTGTTGTTGTTGTTGTCGTTGTCATAGTATTGCTGCTGTCTGGTGTTGGTTTTGCTGCTGCGGCCGTTTCACTGGTTGTTGTTGTCGTTACCGTTGTAGTTGTCACTACAGTTCGCTTAACGGTATTTGTGCTGTCAGCAGGAGCTGCTTCCAGAGGCAGTTCATTGGGCTCTTCGGTTGCTGTAGTTGTTGTCGTTGTCATTTCAGTGGCAACTGTTGCTGGCGGCTCAACATCAGCTGGTGCTGTGAGCGCTTGCGGTGGCGGCAGCTGCTCGGGCTGGGCTGTTGTCTCCATTGGGGTTGTCGATGTTGGTGTTGGTGTTGGTGTTGACGTTGGTGTTGGCGTTGTTATTGTTGCTGTTAGCTTATCAACAACGGCTGCTGCGACTGGCAATATGACGCTTGTCGCTGCCAGAGTTTTAGCTTTAGTTGCTGTGGCTGCCGCATTGGCAGCAGCGTTCAGCGTTTGCGTTGTGGCGCTCGCCAATTGGATTAGTGCGTTTGCAACGTTAGCTGAGTTTGTAGCATTGGATGGGGGGGTGGGACTTGTGTCGGGTGTTGTTGTGGGAGTGTTTGATTTAGCTGGCACAGATGGCACCAGCTCAACGGTTTTAGTTTCGGTTAGAACAACATCCTTAGACTCTACTGTTGGTGCCAATTCAATTTCAACCTGAGGTTCGGCTTCTAAAGCCAAGTAAGTACTTTGGTCCCGCCAGTGACCTATGCCGCCTGGCAAATCGGTTGACATATACTCCGATGAGCAGCTGCGATTTTGTTCGTACTGAGCTGCATCGTGTTCGGGTGTGGGCGTTGCATTGCCACTGCTACCACTACCAGGATCGCGGTCGTTCGGTTTGTCGTCATCGTCATGTGGCTTACGAATTTCAGGCACAGTCAGTTTATCCCCATCATCATCATCGTCGTCATCGTCATCACTATCTTTATCGTCATCGTCCTTGTCCTTCTTGTCTTGTTTGTCGATAACATCATCGGGTTTTTTGTCTTTGTCAAGTTTTGTATCAATGTCCGCAACATCAGCACGTTTCGGTCTGTCCACGTTGGTCTCGTATAAGTCCGCATCAATGCTGGCTTTTCGCCAGTCATCCAGATACAGATTTAGACGCAACTCGTCGATACCGCCGACAGGTGCTGTTGCTGGCACTTCTACCTTAGGAATGCTTACAATTGACGATGCTTCTGGTTCAGTCTTATCTACAACGTTATCAGTTATCAATTTGCTTGATTCTGTAACCGTGGTCGTTTTCACTACAGTTTCAGTAATGATGTCAGTCTTATGCTTATCGTCCTGGGTTTCCTGAGTTTTTTCTAAATCCGTCCCGGTCGAGTCTCTAGTAATCGTGATTAGTAGTCCGTACACATCATCTGCCGTTTGCCTATGCTTCAAGAAACTGTCCTGACTGAGATGCCAGAGTAGTTCGCTTGGTTTTTTAGCTAACGATGTTGGCTCTGTTGGCGTCGTTATCGACTCCAACGAGTTATCAATGAGTATTACTTTTTCAATTTCAGGTTTGGGTTCGACTATTGTTACTTCCTCAACTTCAGATACTTTTTCAGTTGCAGGTTGTATGAACTCTTTTTCAGAAACTATTTCCTCAACTTTCGTTTGCGGCTTTTCCACAGACAAAATTTCTACTTTGGGTTCGACGCTGCTCAACAAATGCAATTGATCAAAGGAATCGTTAGGAAGGGGACGCACAAGATTTGGTTTATCAAGGTTCAAATTGAATGCTAAGATTTCTGAATTAATCTCGGGTAATGCTTCGGGTTCAATTATCACATAATCATTTATATACGTTTCATCCTGGGGCGACGTTGGTGAAATTTCCTTGGGTTTATTCTGATTGAATATTTCATACTGAGTTTCCACTAAATTATATTTCGGATATAATTGCTGCGTTTCAAGCATTAGGTTTTTCCTCAGCACATCCAAACTGCTTGGAGCAATTGTTTCAACTGTTTTAACGCTTGTTTCCTTGGGCTCGGGCTCAATTGCCAAGTCAGTCGAATGCCTTGTCACAACTGTTGATACGTATGACGCTGGCTTTTCATCAGTGGTTTGAACATCTGTGTGTGTTGTTACAGTGGTTGTTACATAGGTGGTTTTGGTTGTTGTAGTTGTTGTTCCCTGACTCTCCAGATCTTGCTGTTGCTTAGGATCTTGGAAATCTGTAGTCTTGCTAACAATAACTGTGGACCATGCAGGCACATCTGCAGCTTCTTCCTTGACAGCTGGAGACGGGAATACCTTTGTTTCCGTTTGAACTATAGCAGACCATGTCGTTGGCTGATCTGTCGGAGATTGCACGGCCACTTCTTCAATGGTATTGTCCATTGGTATTTCAACAGTCATTGGCTGTGCTTCCTTAGTTTCGGTTTCAATGGGTGCTACGATTTCCTCAGTAGTTGTCAATGGTTTTTGACCGGGCTTCAATGTAGCAGACCAGTAGGATGTTTCGCATACAAAAGCATCGGCTTCGGATGGGGGTGTCTGTTGGGTAGTTTTCTCTTCAACATTTGGAGTTTCCGTTTGTTTCACGGTCTCGACATATT